ACGATGTTAACTAATTGTGAACATAAATAGAATATTATTCGAAAGCATCGGTAAAACTTTTATATGGTTAACATCTAAGTATTAAAAAGATACATCACGTTTCACTTAGACATATTCCATCTTAGACACCAGATTTACTAAAGATTAACAATCGTTGCGATACAATCTATTTTAGTATTAAATTCTTGTCTCGGCATAGATCGCAAGTTTAAAGTCTATACCCTCCTTTGCTGAAAAATGATCAGTTTCCGTCGATACTATGAAAACCAGAATAATCTATGGAAGAATAGTCCTGATTTTCATAAATGGCATAACTTTTTATTAGGTGCTTCCTTTTCTGCCAACATGTCGAATGATTTCTCTCATGATCTATTAAAAAAAATGCAGTTTTCAGAGAAAACAGCAAAACTTGCTCGGTTACGTGTGAATGTGAGTGTTGTTATTCTCCTTTCTCACAATCCACACCCGTTTGATATAATTTGAGCTGACATTATTTTAAAAATTTATGAAAATTACAAAAAAGAAGTATTAGTCGAAAAGCTCTTCTGAACTAATGACTTGTATACAGATAGACATCTTGAACATCGCGGTTTCGAGTGATGACAGTAACGAACCTTTATATTTTACTCAAAAAAAGTTATTCAAAATTGTCAACCTATCATATCTTTGAAAATGAGCATTAGTATTCAACAAAATTAAGTCTGATCTGGTTTATAACGTTTGATTAAGAAATCATCATAACATTGAACCTGATAATTGAAGACAATAAATAAACATTGAATGAGAGATGATTGACATGTATTGAAATACAAAAAAAAAATCAATCCACAATTAATCGTCCGCTACTTTATTCAATAACTTCAATCTATTTTCATACCATGCCAGTTCATCTTTAAAATGAAGTCTTTCACAAAGATCTGAAATTTTTGTATACATTTGTATGACATTGAAATGTTTCTTCTCTTTTCCCATTGCTGAATACATTTTTCTTAAACACACTGGACATAAATACAACGGTTGTCCATCCATTTCTTCTTCACTGTTTGCTCCGTTCATCAAACATAAATAATAGATACAATGTTCGACGCCAAATAAATGTATGACTTCATGGACAAACACACTTATAGCTCGTTTGAGTATCAATATTCGTTCTTGATCCGTGCAAGGTCCAGCTGTTGCAGTATCTGGAAACGAAGGATCTAATCGAGAAAATGAATAAATGCCAATACCATCGTCGATTGATGCTAAACCATAGACAAAATTCCAGCCAGATCCTGGATAAATATCAGCCATAGTAACACCAATACAAAATAATTCTCGACGATCATGTTTTCTTTCTCGTCGTTTCATTTTTTTTAAATGACCAATTATAAAACTCGTTAAATATTGTGGTTGTTTTGTATATTGATTGATACGCTTTCCATTTTGAAGATGTTTTGAGAAATCAGTAAAATCTATTTGAGGTAAAATTTCCAATTCACATCCAGGAAAAAAAGGACGTGAAAAGTCACATATGGTTTCCAATGAAGGTGTCCTAGAAATAGTAATGTCATAGTCTTTACCAATATCTATTAAAAAACTATATAGCCAGTTAACTAAGCTCTTCCAAAATGAACTCGTATGTTTCCTTCAAAATTACGCTTATTCGAAAGCTAAAATCAAGAGAAAAATCGCGCATAAGCACTGAAAAACGAAATTTTTTGTTCTACTAATCAGCTATTCCAATCTTTAAAATTTCATGTCGCCTTACCTTGGATGATCGAACGACCCAATTGGTTGTATATAGATTGTTCTAAAACTGAGAGGGATAGAAAGACAGAAACTGCTGACCGAATATTCTTCCACTAGGGCTCTACCTTGAATGTGGCACTGTTCGTTTTGTTCGCTCGAATTGTTGCACAGTTTGACCTTGCTCTGCATGTATAGTAACCCAATCCCCTTCGTTCGGTATTGGAAATGGTAAAAAACATTCATCAATGCCAATAGTGACTGCCCGGCGAATATCATCAGTCAGCTGAAAATTATCAAAATAAAGAATAACATATATGTAATGTTTCGGCATTTTTATGGTTCGAAAAGGATGCTATACTAGAAATTTGCTCAAAATCTACGTTGAAAAATATAATTTCTATCAGATACTTACTTGGTAAGTGTCACCAAGAGCTTTAGCTCTCTGTTGATCCGTTGCTGGAGAATATACACTATTGGAAGAAGCACACATATTTTCTGAAAAGTAGTAAAAAAATGTCGCATCGTGTATTTCTCATTCGATTATATACTCAAGTTATTGCATAAGAATAATGAGTCAGTACTGCTGTTTCACGTATGTACCTTCTTCCAAGAAAAGAAAAGAAAGGAAAATGTTGCGAAAGAAGGACGTTATCGAGCCTCATATTTGTCTGACTTTGACATTATCGTAAGAAAAGAAAAGAACTCCGACATGAGAATTTCGTTCTTGCTTGAATTATATCTGCCCGAAATTAATTCACAAGATTAACTCAGAGCGCTTCGTCATTAGAGACTTGCAAAATGACCACGGTCACAGATACGGTCACGCGTGATCGTGACCGTGACGTGACCATGACTAAATAAACTTGGCCATGCAGCTCTTTATATGCATCAAAAACGAATATCATAGGATTTAAATCGATTTTTATAAGCCAATCTCGTTTGATCAAAACTCCGTAATTGCGATAATCATGAGTAGACTTCCAAATTCAATCATTCCGAAGAACAGATGCCGCAGAAATCGACACGAAATGTGGAAAAGTCACTGTATCCTGCCGAAAACCTGGGAACTTGTAGAAACCTTGGAAGCAGTCTTTCGGTCCGAAGTTTTCCGATGGTTTCCTGTCCGTTGTTTCTGGAAAGTGCAGGGAAGCAGATCAGAATCTTTCGGAAAAGTCCAAAAAATTTCCGGTCCAAATATTGCTCTATGCTTCAACGATTTCCGGTGTTTTCCTGCGAGAATCTGTCCGCAATTTTCCACCTGAGTCGTTATTTACTAAGATCTTTTAGTGTCTATGACTGTAACTGTTACAAAATCCATAAATACCTCATGGATATGATCGTGACCGTCATTGTAGCAACTTTGGAAAAATTTTCATTTCCGTTGCCGTGACCGTGACTAAAAAACCTGGCCACGCAGATCTCTAGTATGCATGTATACATTCTTTGGAAGCAATCTTTGGATTTTTTTCAGTTTTTGATGATGATACGATTAGGTGGCGATACTGAAGAAGTGATTAACTAGCTTGTCGTCTTGTGCTATGTCACTATTGCAGAGTAGAAAACAGAATGAAAAAGCATTTTAAAAACTGCTTCTGTACATGTGCGACTAAATTATTTCGTTGTTGTTGGCTGTGTGAAACATACATTGTTGGTATCGAAATGTCAAGACTAAAAATCAAACACGATCAAGAAAGTGAAGTTGCTTTTAATCAACCAGAACATGATGTGCTCATTTATATCGCACTGTCTTTGTTTAACTAAGAAAGAGCTACACGACAAAAAGTAAGTGATTAGATTCATGTGATGAAAGTCTTGTTCGCAACATCAATTGTTTAGATCTATATATATTTTTCATGGCTTATAGATTCTTTTATTCTTTCAGTTCTAGCTACATTATGAGTACGATATTCCCATAAACTTAATTTCGAAAGAGACAAAAAAAAAAGAATTGGAGAGTGCACACACACAAGCATAAGTGAAAAAATTTAGCTTTCCAAAATTAAAAGCGAAAACATTAATGAAAGTCTGAAGTTCTCAAGAGTTTTTTTTTCAAGCAATTTGTATGTAACCGTTTATTGTACGACGATACGTATTTCTTCCGATGACAATAGTACCGTTCACTGGAATACCAGATAAGTTTATGATGTCTTGTTCGAGAGTGTGTAGTGAACCTCCTGTACGACTAGCAATAGTGATTAAATCAGGATTGACAGGATACGAGCTCAATTGACAAGTGATGACTTTCACTGGCAAGGTCACATTCGCAAGTAAAATCATGTCACGTGGCGTCACTTGATTGTCAGCAATATGAATCAAATTCGTACATGTTGGACATTGTTTGATACCATATAAAATTGCTTCTATATCATTTTCAGGCCCATCACCACCATTACCATTTTTCATAGCTGCTTGCATTACGGCTAGCGTTGTATTCAAATTAGAAGTCGGTACGCCGTAGATACCCCCGGTAGATCCAATTACTTTGAGTGAATCAGCTTTATTATCACCATCATTAAAGAAGACATAGTATTTGATCAAATTTAATTTATCATAAGATAATTTTAACCATTTATAAACGGCAGCTGCACATGGTTGCATTGAACCGGTAACATCGACAACGGCAACCATATTGGTCCAATTAGAGCGATTGAGTACATTTTCAACGGTCCTATCATAATTGGTTAGTGAACCATTAATAATTCCTTCGAGCACAGTTAAATCGGTTCCGCTACCACGATATTCACATGATGGACCGAAATGTGTTGATGGACACAGACAAAAGAAACTATTTCCCATTGGTTGACATGTACCCTACAGTACATATTTAGCAGTTACTTCGTCAATATAGTAAAGCTAATAAAACTATGCTGAATTTCAACTTTTTAAATTTCTTCTATTCGAAACAAGACTCGATTCGAACTATCCTCAAGTACCAACAACTATATTTGTAGAAAAAACTTGCTATTAATCAAGAAAAGCTTATTTTCAAAATTTACTCTATGTGATATTCAAAAAAAAAGTATTTCGTGCATTATGACTGAGTGCCTTGTATCAATAAAACGAACACTGAAACCTCTGCTTTCTCGTTAAGCACGAATTTTTAAAGATCTGTTTATGGCAAGACTTCAAGTTAGTTGTCATTAACATGAAGAAATATATATTTTTTGTGATGTATAAGACAAAAAACGAAGAGCCTATTATTGACATTATTCTTGGTTATCTTCTCTCTCTTCAAGTACAACTAAACTCATTTTTATTCAATAATTTACTGTTCAGTTCTCTATACGATATTATAAACAATTGATTACATGAGAATGACAAAGGAGAAAGGAGTGTAGATGAGATTAAGAACTTGTGTGGGAATGCAAGATGTGTGACTGTGTGCAAGCAACAACCATTCAGTCGCACTCACACCCTCAATAACTGATTTGATGATTGCCGCATAGATTTTTTTTCAGTAACCGATATGTGAATGACGTACTAATAGTATCTTAACATTACTTCTGACTAATCAGTCTTTCATATATATATATGTCATTTGTTTTGTGTGCATCTTCGTATCACAATATTTGAAAAATTGTTACTATCTTTAGAAACAAGATGAAAATCATGAATTTCCCCTAGACTTGTTCAACCTGGGCAGTACTTGACACGTCGCTTTACTGATGAAACATTACATGAAACTCTAAAAATCGTGACTTACGTTATTTTGACAGAGGCTATTATTCAAACAAGCATTGATTGCTGTTGTAATTGTTGATGCTGAAATAGAAAGTTTTAAAAGATTAGAGATACATCATCTTTATATAGGAAATCTTTTAGTTTCAATCGCATAACTATGCTTCATAATGTTTTTCTTTAGTGGATATTCGCCAAAACAATCTCTATTATCGATAACGGCTCTCTCATATTTCAAGAACTCATTCAGAAAAACCCTTACATAACCAAAATGTCAAGGACGATGAAGATGATTTATTTATAGACGAAGACATTCTTCACATTGATCATGATCGGCGATAGTGTCAAAAGACAAATACGTCGCGATATCTGTCACGATCTGTGACGAGATGAAGGTTTAATTTTCTCGAAATATACTTCAGCACTTATTTACAATCGTGTTTCACAAAAGGATGCTATACGTGTGCTCGATAACAATATACAGTGACAAATGTCAAGCAATGAATTTCTCGCTTTACTAGACTGTCTAATTAAACTTTACTAAAATGATAATAATTGACATTGTTGTTATGCCAAAAAAGAAAAACTATAAGGATTAACTATTATATTGCCTATACCGACAATATAGTCCGTCTGAATGACATTCGACCATCGTCTTTTGCGTGTATGAATGTACAGAACACATAGTCACATATTGAGTGTTCTTAGCAAATTTAAACAACTGACTATGAATAAAACAGAACTATGTTTGACAAAAGTAAGTCAATGATAAATCTTGACTATTATTTTCGAAACAATATTTTCAACGTTGACGAACAGTCCAAGTCTTTCGACAGTTGTGACTCAGTACAGATATAGTGAGAAATCTGTTTTATGAAATATTTTCTTGTGTAACTTACTCAATGCTTAGATAAACCTGGTAAAATAAATAAAACAATTCCTTATTGATTGACAAATAATGAATACAATACCTATTTATTTACTAGTAAAGGCGAGTACCACTTTTACTTATTCACTTGTAAGTAGTCAATATTTACATATACTATTAGTTAAGGAGTATAGAAGTAAATATTGATTTTACTTTACTTTATTTGACTAAGAAGACGGTAAAAATAAAATCGAACGCAATTTATTTATGTTGATCTTAGGTGAATAAATTTAAATAAATGAAAGTTTGACTTATTTACTGAGTACTATGTCTAGTTACCGTTTTCTAGTTGATAGATAAATACATATCGACTATTCTTTAATAAATAAGGAAATGTTATCCAAACTCTATGTGCAAAATGACTTAAAGAAACAATGATCTTCCATCGAAAATATTACTAAAAATTGCATATGTGTCCAAAGAACGAGATTCGGACAGCTGCTCTTTTCGATAAGTAATGGTTTATAAAGAGCTGTCGAGTGTAGATAGCCGCGCATCAAATCAAGCATTACACATCAAGTAATTATCTCTTGAGTAAAAATAAGTACAACATGAGCTGTGTATCGGCATTAGGTCAAACGAAAGTCTTAACCACATGTGTGGGCTTCTATCCATTCTTATACATGACTAACACTAAGAAGTGTAATCCAATTGAAAAACAAGGTAGATGGCTAGTTTTTAAATGACATATAATGTCACAAAAGATACCTCTTGTATTTTTTTTTGCCGGCACTAGTATTGATTTTTAGTTCATCTACCAAATAAAAACAAACACAATCAAAGGTAGATCCATTTACAGTGTGAAAAAACTATAATTAAAAAGCTGTCCAAAATACCAGTATTTCCTTCTCATCGAAATTATAGCAATCTTCAATATTTTCAACTGTAAGAATTCAGTAAGAGTCGAACTACAATTGTTCAACACTTGTCTAGAAGCTTTACTGACCATTCAGTGCAATGAAGGCAACATGACTGGCGTGTGGGGATCCGATAGGCTTGATTCTAATTGTATTATTCTCAAGTCTACTTTTTTGACAAACTCGATAACTCTCTTACGTGTCGTTGTGATTGAAGTTCTTGAAGGCAACGGTGGGCATCGCTGAGAAGAGGCACGATTAATTGGATAACACACAGGAATGCCACAACGAGTGTTGTTCACACATATAGTATTGAGTGGTGAACATGTCTTATTATCATTTTCACATGGAACCAAATCTCTACATGACATAACTGTATCCGTACACATTCCTGCACCGGTCATTGCCATCATCAAGCATTCGCAGTCAGAATTTGTTGAACATGGCGTTGATTTTGCTTGACAATATGGTGATGGACAGCATCCGCATGAACCAAATTGTGAATTGGTGATGTCTTGGCCTATAATATAGTTCACAAAAAATAGTATCAATCAAATTATAAAATTCTATTGGAGATCAAGCTTTAAAGAAACCACCAGAAAAAAAACGTTCGTCTAGATGTCTGAATAAAACAAATTTTTCATACCTGTAACAGTGCAGACAACATAACTAAAAAAATACTATGTATTACATTATTAATTTATCATAATAAAATTACTTACACTGCTACGACAACTTGAATCAGAAACCGTTGCATCGTCGTGATGAGAATAATGTTATTTAATTAAAACAGTTGCTGCTTTTATATACAAAGGAGTTGATTTCAACATATTTACTTACATGAGTCAAAAAAGACGCCAGAAGCAGTCTCAATGGTGTTTATTTACATCGATTCATAGATTCCAGCAACAAATGTTTTACAGAGACTCAGTCTGTGACGTCAGTTCCTTCAAAAAAAACATTTTACTTCCATCTTAACGGTCGACTAGATGCATTCGAAAAATGAAAACAGTATTTGTTGAATAACAATATATTTAAATGCTTCAGTTAGTTTACTATGTGCACACAACCCGAAACAAAATATTAAATAAGAATAGAGTAAACATTATTTTTCGTTGAAAGACTTATTGAGAGAGACCTACTTATATCACGCAGAGCTGAGCAATTTGAAAAGATGTTTTTGCTTGGACGAAAGCATTAAATAATAGGAGCAATAAATGGGAAAAAGTGAAGAGTGTAAATAGAAAGTAAAGTCTTATCAATAGCTGACCAGACGGTAAACATGAAAAACTCAAAAAATCGGATTTTATTTTTCTGAAGAAAAAAGTGCTACTAAACTCGTTTTTTATAACCACGTCATTTTTGTGTTGTTCGTAGATGCTTAGACATTAATATTGCTGATCGTTTAGTTTATCAAATTTCAATGTTAGTTCTATAATAGTTATGGCACCCATATGTACATACAAAAGATATTTTTCTCGGGAGTTTTTTCGAGAATCGCATAGACTGCCAAAACGCTAGAATATTTTTATGTTGATATAGCCATAAATGAAACGTTGTTAACATGTTTCTGGGATTTTGCTTTGTGCATCCATAAAAAACAAAAATTCCATTTGTTTCTCTTATACAAGATACTGACAAAAATAACTATTAAATAAAGCATCGCATAGTCGATGAATAAGCAAGTAAATACTGTAGAAAAACTAATTAGCTTTTATCACTTTTCTGTCTTAAGTTTTCATTTAAGGCACTAAAATGTTTTTTTTTTAGATTTCTAATCGATGAGAAGATGTAAAATAAAGTATTCATCAGGTCTAACATAATTTAATTTATCCATCGATATATCGTGAAGAAAAATGCACAGTGACATCCGTAGACCATGGATAATTTAAACAAATTATCATCATATGCAACAGATAAATAGGTTGACATAAAATCTCCCATAAAAGCACTAAAATGTTCAAGAATCGCTGTCAAAGACTACAAGGTATGCATCATCATGCTGGCGAGAATAAAAAATGCTCATTGTATAGATATTGATGATAAAAAAGAATAAAGTTTAACAACATTGTCTTTTTGGAGGGGTTACGATTAGCAATGCTCGCAAACAATATCGAATAGATATTAAGCATGAACATTGTTTCTATTGGAATAGTTGTCTACTTTCTATCAGTGTAAACATTTTGACTCCATTGCATGCCAAACATTAGATATCAACAAATAATCATAACGATTGACACCGCCTGAAATACGTTCAGGATATATGAACTTATTTCGATCATTTTGATCACAAGCTTCATCAGTTTCGATCAAAAAGTAACTTCATTGCTATGTTCTCCTGATATACTGAAATCAATAAGTCTCAAAAAGACGTTAGAAACAATGTCATATCGTGAATGAGGCAGCCTTTTGTGCAAGTTGACTAAGTTGACTGAGTATCTAAATGTCAATCACGTTTGAGATGTCAATCGATGAAAACAGTCCATTAGTTCTTAATGACATTCCTAGATACATGCTGTTCGAATCAAGAATTGCAGTAGAATTTGCAATAAATGGCTTCTCATTGGAATTACATTTGATTCTGATCGATATTGATCGAAATAGTCTCATGACTCACACATATGCTTCATCATTTCTAAGATGACTTTCTATTCTGATTGAAGCATGCATTTTCTTCAAGTAATGAAAAGACGAATGACATGATGAAACAAATAGAATAGAATGATAAATCAGCCTCTCAACTCATGTTCATTTTCCTCATTACCAAATTTGAATTACTCTAAAATATCAATAAGCTGTCGGAAATTTTCAACACTAAAGATGCAGACATGTCTCCACCTGAATACATACTCATACACACATCCGCAACAGAATAGGACAAAGAAATATCACCATGGAAAGCTGTGACTCAGATGGCGTCCCTTAATGAGTCCGTAGGAGTTCACTGAGAATCCTGAGTTCCATGATTCTGCTATTCGCTTCTTGAAAAATTCGTATAATTATTGCACATATGACGTTCCTATCAACAGATGTAATAAAGCGAAATTACAAATATTTATGACAAATTTCGACTGAAAAATAATATATGTATATGTAATATTTCATGAACAATCGATGAAAAACTTCAAAAAAGGCTATAACATCTAAAACTAATCTAATTGACACTGTACAAACAAGTGATGATAATCTTGTGAAGTTTTTGACTTTGTACACGTGAAATCCAAGCTCATTTTAGCTCATAATGCTATTATTCATTCTATGTGTAATCATACTAGCGCAGATGGTTGCAACTCAATGATCTTTAACATATTGGCTAAGCGAAGTGTGTATTAAAGAACAACTATTAGCTATAAGTGAGAGCCGTACACATTGTTGACCAACCATCCTCTTTGGCTATTCGGTGTAGGCTCCTATTAATTGAATGATCAAGGCAACTGTTAATCTGATTGCATGAGAGTGAGTTCAATACATTGTTTGTACATAGTTCGGTTTATGAAGTTTATTAGTGAATGGCTCGAAGACAAATTATCTTTATACACAGTTTCTGCATCAATCTCTGAATCGAAAACTGACATCTAGATTTTGCGCCGTTTAAAATATTATCTGTTATTAAATTACGTTGACTATGCATCTAATTAAAATGTGTAAAATGTAAAAATTAGCAATCTGAATAACGGTGAATTGAAATCATCACTGGTTCTAGCAAAACGTCACAACCAAGAATATATCCAATGAAAAGTTGTGAATAGAAATGGCACGTCAAAGAAAACCAAAAACAAAATCTGTCTAGTGTAGAGGAGAAAAAATGTTACACGTCTATATTTGTCGACCTTTTCCATTGCTAGCGATAAATTTATTTAAAGTAATAACGTGTCATTAATTATGAACCTTCTCGACTATAGTCGCATTGCTAGATATTTACATAAATATGAAAGCAATCATGATCAGAAGGTGAAATAGCAGTATTATCTTGTATACGAGAACGAGATGTGAACTGAAATTTGAAATAAAGAAATGATAGATTTAAAAAGTTTGTCTTTGATATGAAGCTATTTTTGGTTGATAAGGTTAATAATAGCATTTTAGAGAAGGCGGATTTTGCTGAGCAATATATGGCGATTGCTGTTTAGCAAGAAGTATTTGTTGAAGCTGTTGGCGACGATGTATTCTGTTGTTTCGTTGGAAGGCCAGCATTTTCTAATAATTGTGTAGGAACATCTCTGAGTCTTTCTTGGAAAAAATCTAAGAATTCATCATCGTTAAAGTCAGAATCGTCACTATACGAATCATCACCAAATTCTTGATGTAATGGAGTACACGGATCCATACATCTGAACACTCCACCTGTCATTGCTGCAATCTTGGCCATGAACTTTCTTGGTTTCGGATCATCTGATGTATGTCCCATCAGAAAAGCAATTGTATGTATTACACATGGATTTTGTCGTTGTTCTAACCATATTTTCAAATCGGATAAAACTATATTCATATCTATGGGTGGTTCGCCACCCGAAAGTAAATAGATTGTATCTACTTCTTTATCACTAAGTGCCACTTTCAATGCATCGTATGTATTTGTTTCTCCCTTAGCTTCTAAATGATCGAGATAATGTTCAGCTTGTTTTAGATGATGTGGTGTTGCCAGAGTTAAAGAATCCTTCCATCGATGGACATGAGTGTCGAAATGAATAATATTAAATTTGAACTGTGGTTGTACACGATGATGAAGAAGCTTATGAAGATCGTGAACAATATATTGAAGTCGATTGAAATGTTGGCCACAGCGCGTTTCAAATTCGATGTTCATTGAACTGCTTGTATCAATGAGGAAAATGACTCGAGAACTAGTAATCGATCCATAAATATGTGACTGACCACGAGCTTCAGCCAAAACCTGATTAACTTGTGGTAATAGATTAGGAGGAAATAAGTGTCTCAATTGAAAACGATTTACTGGATCAAGTAGATTCTCGTCTATCACCTGTAGAGCTTCGAGACGTTCTTCTGGGACTGGAATCATTTGCAGCAATTGTGCTGCTTGATTGCATTTTAATCCAAACAGATGATTGTCAAGTAGGTGTAGAATAAGCACGAGTTGGGCTCCAGGAAAATAGGGTGCCAATGCTATAACTTGATCACCACTGAATGCTTGTGGAGATCTTTTTATCTCGTAAACGAGATGTTGAATACGATCAGCTGACTGCATTGACTTAGCTAATTTAGATACAAACCGATTCATTTGACGTTCGGAACGAACGCCATTTATAGGAAGTTCATGATGTCTTTCCCATGCATTTGAATGAACAAGATGAAGACCATGAAGACCCATGGATGTCTTTTGAAGTACTGTGAAAAAAAAATAATAAGATAATATTTGGTTTCTGTGCAACAATCGCTTCTTTATGATGGCTTCAATCAAATTCTAAAAGTGATTCTATTGTAAAAAACAAACAGAGCGTACCAGGTTTCATGCAATAGGAAAATCTGTCTCCATTTATTTATATCAACTGTGCAAATATAAAATTTGACGTCTTAAAAAAAAATGCAATAATAGTCTGTCTCATTAAGAAATGTTTCACTATACATGTTTTTTTGTGATTATCTAACTAACCACATACGATATTAAAACTGAACAACATGCATTCTATCTTATAGAGTAAAACGTGAATATTATGAGTACGAAATATTCATCTGATTTATTTTCAATTGTGAATATAGTTACGCTTTTATTGCGTGATGCATATTACTTTTTTCTTGTTTTTTGTTCTTTGCTTATGATTTTTGATTTTATTCCATTTCTTTCGTTATGTCACGTGTCTCTTCATTTCCATTCTTCATTTTGCGAAGAAAAAAGAATTGTTCTTTCTCCTTTAAAACGAATACACTATTAATTGAGAAAGGAAAAGAAAAAGAAAAAGAAATACTTTAACAAAAAGGAGCAAGAAAGAGACGCAAATAAAAATGAAGTAGTGCGTCGCTGTTCAAAATATGTGAATTTTAAAGTAAATTATTCACGAAATCAGAACTTGACACAACCTATTCGGTTGTTTGAAACTTCGACGGTCCCACAGTTTTTTTTCTTTATGAAAAAGTTTTATAATAATGTACAATGAGTAATTATGTGTGCATGTAAACAAAAAATTAAACTTAACCTTTTCAAATGATAATTGGAAACAAATATGTACAAAATGGACGTTTATTTAGCTTATGTGTTTTCATTTCCGTAGTTTGATTTCATGTTTGGGATCATTTTGTCATTCACTGCTCTACAATTGTACGGAATTTCACCGAAGCAGCTTTGTAATGAAATATGTGGGAACGTTTTCAAACATCCTTTTTAATTCTTAGTGGATACTTTTTGCATAACTTGTTAAAAACTAGTTGTCATTGAGTTAAACTAGGAAGAATATTTGCTTTTTTCTTAAGGCATTTATCTCTGTATGGTGCTGAAGAGATTGCGAAGAAAAAAAATAATTCTTTCTACCATACTGGCTGAGATGAGAAGCGTATTTCATTAAATTTTTCTTTTCTTACCTGTGTGTTGCATTCTTGCTATGGTCGAGAAAAGTAAAAGCAATTGTTACTCTTTTTCTCATTACACAACTCCACTTCGAAGAAGTAACCAAAGAGGCAGGAAAGAAAAAATGGAGGCAACCTCGCTACTCTTCTTGAGTTCCGGTAATGCATTGCTTTGTCTTCATTGAGTAAAGAATGAAGTATATGCATCATTTGTCTATTGCTATTGAACAGTCAAGGACACTGAAAGACTTTATTTCAATAGTTCGATATATTTACTCTTATTGAAAAGCTTTTGATAGGTTTAAATATACATTCGATTTACCGATCGTCATACGGCAATGGCGCAATTGAACGTCACCTCATTCACTCATGCATCGAACTGATTGTGACTCATGTATTTTGAAGGAAAAAGCAAAATAAATCTATTGAATTCCTTTCAGATATCTTAGAGCATTCTTCATCGATCAAATTGAAGCACATACGATCTGTAGCGATCAACGAAATTCAATCGATGTCTACTCTAGAAGCATTTTGCCCAAGCACCAAGCCTATACAAATTTATTTGCAGCATCGAACGTGTGTCGGTATCGCTATTGCATCACGATCGATCGCTCCCGTATTATATGATATATTGAAACTCAACAAGATATTGAATAGTATGTTTTTTTGATTCATTTCAATTTGTCTCTTCATTCAACGTTACACTCTGACTTGGGTCAGACTATTTATATTCTCAATGAATGAATTCGATGTCGTTCCACATTGATGAGTATGAACGAGAATCGATACTGGCTCTATTAAATTAAAAGAAGGAAAAATTCGCCGATGAATGATTTGTCTCGAATCGAGAGAGAATTTGATCGAGAAAGAAAATTACATGATGTTCGAACGAACGGTGAGTATGCAAGTGTTAGTGAAATCGGCACGTTCATTTGAACAATATTGATGACATCCCGAAAATTCTAATTGGTTGTTGTTACTTATTGATTGTTGATATCATCACGAGTAACGAACAAGTTGTCACGGTGTGTGTCGTCATGATGCAATGGCATCTGAGAAATGTAATGGATATAGGGTTATCGAATCCATTACGACATCATCTTCAAATTGTTTTCCTGTGCAAGAATGTTAGTACAGTTTACAACGATAAAGGGTGTGGGCGTGGGTCCACACCCTCGTTTGCCGATATTTTCCATTGACTGCAGTGTATAGTTTTCTTCTAATACGATGTTACAGTCTCGAGATTTTCTTCATAATGCTTTTTCTTCATCGTCATCGAACTATTTGAACGACTTCAAAGTAACGTAAAGAACAAATGTCTATGTCTTGCCTATTTACTTATTCAAAGGTTAGGAAGATAATTAGAATAAAGTGATCCCACTAATATTTACCCAATATTCACACGAGAAAATAACGAATAAAGTCTAACTGATCGAAATATCCGTGTTAACGAGCTTTGCTTAACGGGTTTATTCTATTCGATCAGAAATGGCTATACCAGTTATCCAGACTTAAACCTAGATAGTTTTCCACAAACCAGTTAGTGAGATGTAAAAGAATTGTCGAGTGTTTACAAGTGACTAATATTTGTATTTCTCGGCACCACTTAATTATGATTTTCAGCTTCGATTAGTGGAATCTTTTTAAAAACGAAGAAGTCATTTGAAAAACATGTCCATCTATGTCATTTTGTTTTCAGTTAGATCAGTTGTCGCGAACGCTATACGATAATCACTGGCGGCTCAAATATCTGCAATAGAATTTAGCGAAACAGATCAATCAACTCCATGCATACCTAGATTCATTTGCTTTTTCATTGAGAATTTTCAAGAATAGATTGAATCACATAGTTTATTCAAAACTTGGATAACAATTGCATTTTCCTTTGGGAAGCCAACTAATATCTGATCATCTATTGGTATGAGACATCAAAGATCAAAACAAGTCAAAAAATATTCCGCTTGACTCGGCTCAAACAACGAATATTCCAACCATATTTTATTCAACAACAATAAGTTACAAAAATAACAAAGTACACAAGAATGAGACAAGAAAAAAAGCTTGAAACTAGATTTGTCGCTTGGCGAACTCAATAGAATACAAAAAAAATCAAATTGTTGACCGTTGAAGAATAGAGATTTGAGCGTCTCTGAGTAACACCTATTCATCGTCATCAGTTCATGACCGTTTTTTCATCGTATTACTTTGTTCGACTAATTCACTGGTGTGAATTAATATTGTACCGTACTGTTTCACTAAATCATAGTAACGATCAATACCGAGAAATTGTAAAAAAATCGAGCTTCTCGAGCGAAACTCGACTCAGTTTCGATCTATGGTTAGGAATGTAGCAATACCAATGCGATATTGATAGTATTGGCATTGTTATCTCGCTAGTGTACACATCTTCGCCATGAATGTCATATCATTTCATGTACTGTTCATGACGACGAATAGGATAAAGATTCAGTGAGTTTACAGAAATAATTTATCATGGTGAAGTCTAATTTACATCAACTAGAAATTGAATTCAACATTGGATGTATAACATGGGAAAAAATTGCAAAAACCTACATTTGAATAGGTTTTTAGTCTAGTCGCATGTTTTTTTTTTCTAGATTTTGCCTCCATTTATTCGATTAGAGTGGAATACGTCTTTTTTTACTTAAAAACGCAAACAAATAGTTCAAGAACGTGTTTCATACAATATGTTCTATTGGTATAAAAACGTACTTTTTGTTACCACAAAAGTCTTTTTCTATCGTATTTTTATCATTTTATTTCACATTTGTAAAGATTTCTGGAAAGATATATCGTAGTCAATCTTACGGATGTCAAAGTATAGTTGACAAATAAATAATCCTCTTCTATTAATTTTTATTGAGTCTTTTGTTAGATCGTAATGGACTACTTGAATGTACCAATTATATTTCGACTTTTGTAAGATTGACCATCATGTATCTTTTCCGAAATCGTTAGAATTTTCAGCATAGAGATTACTGACAAACGTGCGATAGAATGATGTGAATATGATTAAATAATTAATATGAATAAATGAACAGAAAAGACTTTTCACAAAACAAGAACGACTTTTGCTAACCTTCTAAAATATTAATTTGAACAATCCATATAATCACTATTATGATCAAAGTGTAGAAGTCTACGGAATGAAATAATTCGAAGATGAGTCTAAGACAGGCACTCAGATATATTCTTTTGTTAATTTGCTTCAATGCATCAGGTTTTTACCAAGCAAATACATGATATGATATCTCTAACTAAAGATGCACATTATCGTACAATGTATTTCCACTAAATAAATTTTCTATTAATTCGAAGTTTTCTCCTCATAACTTATCGGAATTTCTCTTGGATGAAATTCAATATTTCTGATAGATATGAGCTTGCAGTGTTTATTGCTATGAGGGTCATCTGTCATAAAAATAGTTTGGAAGATAGTGGAAGAATGATTAAGATTCACTCACAAGAACGTTTTAATTTACAAGTAGAAAAAGTAAAGATTTCTTTAAAAATATTTATCCAATGACGATACGGCATATGTTTGTCTTTTTTTACTCTTATTCATTATCATATTGTAGGTTTGTGAACAGAAGAGAGGATACATTAAAAAAGAAAAGAAACAGATAAATATTTTTACATAATACATTAATTTGATTGTTGAAGGAACAGAACATACTAAGAGATAAGAAGTAAGAAAAACGAAGACAATAAAAATGAAAAATGACTGTTATCAGTATCAGTCATAAATTGTGTTTAAATAGAACAAAAAATCATGCCTGTTAAAGTGTCTTATTTGTTGAATGAATAAGTTAAAAAGTATTCAAGTTTTTGTCGAGAAAAAAAGCACTGAACATTCCTCAGTTACATATACAATAAGTCAGTAATGAAAAACTACTAGAAACTGAGCTATAACTTGAGTATAATATTGTAATGGTGATAAAAAAGTATGTATTATTTTTTTTCTCTTCAAAAAATGATCTATTTCAATGAATTAAGAATATAATAAATGAATGTAATGTGGGTGTGGGTTTTGCAGACTTCTAATCTGTATATCACAATATCTAGAGCTTTTCCAACTTGCTCAATAGATTTTTTTTCAATCAGGTTATACTCGTTTTATTCATTTGCGTTTGTTATTCAACCATTACTTGCCTAATATTCAACTCTATGATGCTGTTCTATAGTCATATGTTTATCTCGAGAATAGCTCTGTTTAACCTATATAAATTTAAGTGTAATCTTTCGAAATTTTTGTCTGTTTGTTAGCAGATTCTTATTTTAATAACAAGATGTGGATGTGCCTAGTCTCATAAGTACTACATCAAATTTCCACAAACCCTTTAAGAGTTTATTATCAGTTTCATTTTCATCAATTCTTACTCGACTATAAAAATAAAAAGTCTATGTAAAATTAACTATTTCTTTTCATAAATGCTTGGAGACATTGTCATCTTTATAACCAAGCAAGAGCTTATAAAACTGATATATATCCTAAAAGGATTTACCAAAATTTGTTGTAGAATTTCTGAAACCGAAGAACTCTTCGAAATGATTTATAACTTCACACTTCTTTTACAGTGTTGGTGCTTGGGATGAAGAGAAGCCATTTATCTAACCACACCGACACCCACACCCCAAATCTTTATTGAATTATTCTACTATTTTTGTATGTGTGCATCACTTTGACACTTTGAATAAAGGTTATTTTGACTTTTCTCGTTGCTGCCCAGCGTTACAAATATGAAGATATACATGAATTATTCTGCATAGCTTTTTTTCAAACCTGTTAAAGATTGTCATACGTATCAAATTGAACATCGACAATTGAAAGTAGTGTTCATTAACGATTTTCGTATTAAAGAAAAACACCTTTGAACACTTCTCTATCCTGGATAAAAAAAAAATCAGACCAATATCTTCCAATAGAAAGAATATATTTAAAATTTTTATCCTAAAGATATTTATAATCCACTCTGTATGTATACAGTAGCACTAGAAATGATTAGACACCACATGCAAAAAAAAGACATGAGAACATTTTACAATTAAAAACTCCGTAGTTCATTCTTTTGAACGAGAAGCTACATTTTCTACAATGTTTTGACTAAAAAAGCAGATGAATTTTTCGTTAAAATATTTTCCAAATATGTCTCTCAGCTGAAAAGAATGTAATGTGAAGTGACATATTCAGCTATTTTTGCGTTTACTCTAAAGTCAATTTAAACTGATGTCAAAGTATATCAAATTTTTAGTACTTCTAGTCTGAAAAAGTAAACATATGACATCATGAACTGATACTTTTCGCAGATAAACTATATAAACAGGGCTATATTATAGCAATGATTAGATGCATGATTTATTTTGAGCGTCATCGTGTCTATATTATATACATATATCATAGGTTGAATTGAATTTTAGGTGAAAATCAATTTTGGCAGATTTCGTTTTCAATCTTATATCAAGTGACGACATAATTAATTTTCATTTTCATCAACAAAACATGGCACGTGCGTGTTATTTTTAAGTAGACAGAGTATTTATTTTATTTAATTTATATTCTAATACATAGACAAATGACTACTATGATGACATCAGAAAATAATGTATGAAAGTGCGTTTATGAAGAAGGAACTATAAATATTAGTTTATTGAGCATCGCATTCCGACAAAAGATATTTATTATTCTACCATAAGAAATACATAATATATTCATACTTTAAATATAATCTATGAGTCAGATCAAATTCTAAGACATTTAAATATTGATAAAAAATACTCAAATAAAAATAAGTTTATATATTATTCTTATTTTTTTTTGGTTGGTGCTTGCTACGAAAAACTACATTTAAATCAAATATATTTTTTTAAATCTATTTGTAGTTCTCATTTTTCAGAATTTCATTTTTTCAAATTTAACCTAATTGCCTTGTTTTAGCTCTATAAAAATAGATATTTTTCTCTGAAAAATGACCAAGACAAAAGATTTATTAAAAGGAAAACATTTTATGAGCGATCATACAGTGTTGAAGCGTTTTTAAAAATATATTTCCTATATCATTTACGCAAATAATATTCATCGAGAAATTATTTTGAAATAAATACTTAATTCTGTCAGTGACAAATCATGAAGTTTGAATGTAATAACACAACTCTTCGATAACCAGAGAGCAGAATGAAAAAAAAAGTTTTACACTTATTATCTTCAACGAAAAAATAAAACAATTTCGAAAATATTAGAGAAACATTCCTTACATGACGGTAATTATCCAAAGAGAATATCATCATATTAATGTGTAAATCATAAGAAAGTATGTATATAAGAGTCAAATTTTTTACTAATTATTTTTTTAAAATAAATGGATTTATTGAGAATGTATTATTTTACTCATTCGATATGTAGTTTGTTCTGTCTGGTTATGCACACGTGGCTTTAATTTTTTCACATGAAAGTTTTTTTCGTCGAAGGGTAAGTCAAGTTTTTTATTCTTTTCAGTTCTCACCGATGGAAGTAACACACGACACTTTTACCTTCGTTTGTTTCAACATTTTTTTTTTCTTCGTGTATTTCATCAGGTAAAGCTTACACTTAACGAATGAAAATAAAAGAACAAATTCAACTACGTCTTTTTTCATTTAAAAAGAACTCAAAAGACTGAAACATCGGCACATGTTTTAAGACCTTGATGTTCGCGTTAAAATATTATCATTGTAAAAGTAATATCTGATTTTTTTTTCAACTGAAACAGAAAACTGATGTTTTTCTTTTTAATCTTCTAGTCTTTGTTGACACATGCATATTTTGATGCATACTGATGATAAGAAACTCGACTGATTATATTCTTTTTTAGATTTATTTCTGTGATGACACTCCAATTTCCATCTTTTCATGAAAAAAAACTTCCTAGTGATATCAAACTTGTTTGGCCAGAAGTAAATTCGCACGATACCAACATTCTTGATCGAATTACAGGTTCACTTGTTGGTCTGGCAATAGGAGATGCACTTGGAGCGAGCGTCGAATTTCGCCCTCATCAGTATCTTGTCGCCTATCCTGTTACTGACATGGTAGGTGGCGGGACATGGGGTTTACAAGCAGGTCAGTGGACCGATGATACTTCAATGGCTTTATGCCTTGCTTCATCACTTATCACTCAAAAAGGCTTCAATCGTTATGATCAAATGGTTCGTTATAAATGGTGGTATAAATATGGATATTTATCTTCAACAGGGCAGTGTTTTGACATTGGTAATGCAACACGTACTGCATTAGAAGAGTTTTATCGTCGTCAGATGCAACTGAAGAAAGATTATAACTATCAAACAGAATTTGAGGTTGATCAATTGCTCCCGGATTTTATTAAGCGTGTACAGTTTAATGTCAATTGTAGTGAAGAAGGCGTTGCTGGAAATGGAGCTCTTATGCGTCTTGCTCCTGTACCACTTTTCTTTTGTCGACAACCTCCTGTGGCTGTCGAGTATTCAGGCCAAAGTGCTCGTCTTACACATGGTGATAACGTAGCTTTCGATGCATGTCGTTACTATGGAGCTCTGATCGTTGCTGCTGTTAATGGTGAACAGAAAGAAAGTTTAATCAGCGATCAATTTTATGATCGTCATCAAAGTTGGTTTAGTTCGAAGCCACTTCATAATGACATTATCCATATCGCAAAAGGATCTTTTAAACAACCAGGAGGTTATAAAGATGGAATTCGCGGTAAAGGACACATTGTTTTGGCACTTGAAGCAGCGTTGTGGGCATTTTGGAGTGCAGATACATTCGAAAAAGGTGCATTCAATGCTGTGAATCTAGGTGATGATACAGATACTACAGCAGCTATTTATGGTCAATTAGCAGGTGCCTACTATGGTTATCACAATATCCCAACACAGTGGATACATAAATTATATGCTAATCAATTAATCGTATGCGTCGCTGAATGGATAGAGTATCTGGGTTGTTTAAAGAGTCAATTGCCCGAACAACCAAAACCAAACCATATTAGAAATCAGCTGTCCATTTCATCAATACAACCTTGCTATGTGAATACGGCAGATTCGACACGACCAATGCCATCCGTTAATGGAAAAAAACCCGAACGAAAATCTCATCATAGGCGCTCCAACTCTGTTCCAAGACGCCTAGGCTTCATTGAAACTATTCTTTCATGTGGCGGACGGAGAAAACCTAAGAATCGAACCAAAGAAAAACAGACATAAACCCTTTATTTGAAACGATATTTACCCAGATACCATTAAAATGCATAAGAGCAAAGAATTTTTGTTGAATTTGATCGTTCACAATGAACAATGTCTAATATTCAGTGATCGATCTTATTTCAATTCAACATCAATATTAGTGGATATTAATTTCTCTGCTATTTTGTTTGAAAATAATTTATATCAATAAACTGTAGACCAAAAATATTCGAACCTTTGTATAATACGAGTCTTTTTTAGTAATCTATTTCAAAACCTTTTAGTCGAATAAATAACTTCAAACATATTATATTTCAAGTAGCGATTTAGTTTGTTTTTATTTTTTTATCCAAATATTTTAATTTCTCCATAATATTATTAAAATTCTAATCATGTATAAAATGCAAAACCAACAAAAACAATAGTTTATCTTGAACTACATCTAGATTTAATATTAAAACAATGAAGTTATTCATTGTTGGTTTATTTTTTTAATTTCATCGATAATATTTTGTGCTAGTTTTAGCTCATACAGCTGTTTCGATGTCTTGACACCATAATGATAATGACGTTTATTACTACACTTACGCTTAATATCCAATTTCGGTGTATAGACTCATATTTCTTTCGGTATGCTTAAATATTCTTTTACTATTGTGTTTCAGAAAAAAAAAACATTTGAGTAACTAAGCAGATTTGCAATTGTGGAATGTGAACGAAAACATTCGATAAAACTGGTTTGAATAGAGATATCAACGAAAAGATTACAAGATTAGTCAAAAAACTACATAGTCTAACAGTCCTAATCAGATGACCGTTTTTCTTTGTTATTAGTAGAATTATAGTTCTAAACAAAGCCAGACATTTTGATTTTTTTGTCATATTTTTTACTCATACAAATTTGAGTTTCACCAAAGGCCAATTTTGTTTCTAACATATACGTATCCTTTACATTTTCATCAAATCGCATAAGTAATTTCTTTTTTGTCAAAAGAAAAGAATTTCACGCTTATATTCATTTGAAAGAAATTGACAACCAAAACATTCATATGTTATGAAACGTCGATAAAAAGAATTCTTCGCCCTTTATTTATCAGTAATCATTGGAGTGATTTCTCACTTGCTCCATAAAAACAAACAGATGATAGATCATAAAACAATGCATCTATCTTTTAGACATCTGTTTCAATTAGCGCTCAAAAGATATTATTCAACATCGACAGACTTTGTTTATTAATAGACATATATCTTGATAAATAAGATCAACTTTGTTTAAAAAAACCTATGAAAAAACACATGTTTCGTTTAAAACTTAACATTTCAAGAGTTGAGTTACTGTGTTCTTAACGAATCCGATAGAAATCGATCGAGATGATTTTTTTCTATCCATGGATGTTATGAATGAGAAAAAAATATTAGAGTCTTTGAAGAGTAACTGTATTCTTCTATGACAGAATAACATCCGACATGACAATATAATGCTATACACAGTAAATAATGAAATCAATCGATGTAGCAATATCATGGGCCTACTTGGAAGATTAATGATCGATTTTTGTAATTGCTTTATCAGTGGCTTTCTTGAAAGCAATTGAAAATTGTATTGATTTCGAATAGCTTTCGACTGCTTTAAATTGTAATATGACAAAGTTTCTATGCTTCTCTTTTTCAAAACTTTAATTACTTGCATAATCTTGCCGTAAGTATTTTTGAGATGTAGAAGAGAAGAATTTTAATATTTTAAATTTAGAGCTAAATGATTATTCTCGAACAGTACTGAGCATATTTTTCCTATGAACATAAGATTGTAACATTTCTCTATATAACCATCAAATAACTGATTTCATGAAACGCAATATAGATATTCAAATTATTTTAATATATAGTTCCATTTTACAACTCACTCTAATCGTTCTATTAAATGAACTTTTTACAAAACGTTTATGATCATATCCGAAAAATTAATTTTGCAAAATTATGATTTATTTGTAAATGCAACTATGCCATATGATAGTATGGAGACATATCCACGAAATCTCAATCAACTACTTTCAACACATCTAATTTGACAATGTTTATTTTAATAAAATGCATCAGTGCCGTAGCAAACGTAGGATGATATTGAATTACAATATGTATGACATATCATACATTAAAACAAAATTTTACATTGAAAAATGTCTAATTGATCATCAGAATAGATCTTTATATTTTGATCATTCACAAAAGTGGATATAATTTGGGAATTGCTATTTGTGGTAAATGATAACCTATTAATATTTATTTTTTCCATTCCAAGAATTGTGTACTTGATATTTTGAACTAGTCAAAAAGGAAAACAGAAATAAGACGACTACGACATGTACATCATGTTGTTCAGATAAAGTGGTACGATGATTGACAATTTATTACTATCTTAACTAATTAAATGTAACGAAAGTTTCCTATGTAAAAAAAAAAACAATTAATGAAGTTAGTTGTCCTCCTGTGGCTGTTTAATTTGATCAACGTGAGATTTATATGTATAAGACCATTTATTTTCAACATTTTTCTTAGCATTTCCATATTAGTTCTGTTATTTTGTTAAAATTTAGCCCTGAATTCTTTTGAGAAAACAATCAGAAAAAGAATTTTATATGGGATGAGACATCTTGCAACTAATTCTACGATATTTGATTTTTTTTTGGTTAGTTTCTCAAGAAAGCTTCTTTTGAAACAGCCTGAAAAATCTAATATCATAGAATTAGTTACAACGTATCACGTTTTATGGAAATTTATTAATTTGACATGATTCCCATAAAAGCAGTGCAAGTCAACACTTGCAAATGGCAACACAAAAATCGAAATCCTACAGAGAAAATTTAAAAAAATACGTTTTGCCAGACTATGACCCTGTATAGACTTTTAGGTGAATACTATTTTTGGAGAAACTAGATTAATCGTTAGGCACAGTTTTTATGCACTATATATTGATGTAGTCGTGATTCGGATAGTCGAAGATTGAACATGAATAGGGTATGAGCTGCGTTAAAATACTATCTATAAATATTCACATTTCGTCAGTAGTCATATTCTATTGATTTATAAATTAATCTATAGTCCTTAAATGATCACAGAAACATATGCTTGGATTCTTATAGTGATGAATACTGTCAAAATATTGCTAACGATCAATTTTTTGCTGACTACGAATAAGAATGTCTAGAGATTCTTCAGCAAAGATATTCAAATCTTTTATGAAATTGCAGAAGGTTATATATAGCAATTTGGCAATGCAATAGCTAAAAGATATTCTCAAAATCTATGTAATCAAATCACCCAGATTATCTACATCTGAAGAATTTGTAAAAAAGCGTAGAATGTACTCTTAAATTATTGAATACTACACATGATAGATAAACTGTTTTGTCATTCAAAAACTTTACGCAAATAAATTAGAGCCTTTAGTCAAGATCCAGTTTTATATTAACAAATAAAATTTAAAATACAATATTTGAAATTAGAGTGTGAGTGTGTTGTGAGGGTGAAGTGTGAAAATGAAGGTGAGAAGTGCTTGCAGTGATAATAAGAGTAAATCTGAGAGTAAGTTTGAAGAGCTTCTCTTTATTCTCATTCACAGCAATCCAGCTTCACACCTTCGAAGAATGGACGCGCTTTCACCCTCTTTCTAATGTAGTTGCTGCAACATCATGTTATTCTACTCATATTTAATATGCCTTTGCAGCTCACATTCACACTATAAACCGAGCGAACACACTTGAACCTGTGCTTGCCAGCTAGAATGGGCTTAAAATGTCATAGAACTGTTTTGGTTTTGTAGAAATGATATTGGTTCTCTTCTTTCGGTGTTCCATGTCCGACTGAAAGACACTTTAAACTGAATTGGATCCATCCAAGTTACTATTCCACACGAACCGTGCTACCATCTGATTCAGAATTTTCACTAGCTGTTGAGTGTTACGCCGTTGCGTTAAGTGGTCAATGAATAGTGGATAGAGAAATGTGTGAAATAGAGTTTGATTGATCATAACACGACTTTGAAGAACAGTAAAAAGGTTGATCGTTGTACCTGATGAGTCAATAATAGGTGCACCATTGTTATTATCGATCTCCTTTTGACGCCATCGGAGGCCAGCGTTTGCCGATTTAAGAAGTTGATCTCGTGAAAATGAATTCCAATCGGTGGGCCACCAAACACTGAGACCGTATAAATTGAGTGCCGGTATTGACGAGGTATTAGCACGATGAAAATGGTAAGAATTGAATATGCCAGTACAAAGAGAAGTCAAATAGTACAATGTATATTCTGTCCACATTCGACCGAATGGAGTTCGCCACAAAGCCCAGTTCGCCAATACGTTCAAAAAAGATCGATCACCTATAAATTAAACTAATTTGAAATATCAGTTTTTTACTAGCCATAAACCTACCATAAAGTGTCTGCAATCGACACAAAGCTCTTAATGCGATCGATTTCGATAGAATAGCTGGTGTAACACCTATGGTTTTCGCCGATGGATTATTTGTGATGCATGTGTTCGGTTCGATTTGTAGTACCTGTTCACTTTCGGGCCACCATTCTGCATGATCTGATCTTTCTTCAAGTTGATACAAAGCTCGATACGATGGTGTATTATACTTCATTTTCGAAGTTGACACTTGCTGTTTCAACAACAATTGTTCGACATGGATAGGCCAGAGAGCAATACAATCCGAATCAAGTATCATGTAAAATTCGGTTTTGATTATCTGAGCAATCACTAACTTGAACATCATTTGAAGACGATATGAATGTGTGTGCGAATGTTTTAAGACAATATCATCGGGCATAATCGAAATGGGCCATGGCCAATGATTGACAGCTTGACCGGCAAGAAATGGCTCAAGATATGATACGTGTCGACGAGGAACGAGTAATATGACCTCACTAAGTTTGCGATAATCAAGATGACATACGAGTGAAGCTAGTGAGAGTGGTATCCGTTTAAAATCGGGTCGTGCTGTGACAATGACAATGGTGA